TATCTGCACATAGTATATGCTTTACAATTTTGTCTTTATCACTGTCTTGGTACATTAAGCCACTTTAAGCATTTTAGAAAGTCCCCTGTTCAAGTTCTGCTCATTCACAAGCCTAGTGAGAGTCATGCTCGCAATGAAGGTAATGTTAACTATTAAACCAACCAAATCAAAACTTTCAAAAACACACAGCAATGTGATTCTTTTATTGAGTGAGAGTCAGTGGGTTTAATCAGTGACATTAACAGATTTACTATTCGGCGTCTTCTCCGCGACCTCCTTCCCTTGGTGTTTTTACACATAGAAAAGGCAAAAAAACATATTGCATTGTCCAGTTTTCTCTCAGAACGATGATCTGAGTTACTATTGCAATTATCGATGCAGTATGAATGACATACACTGGTGACATTTTTCACAATCACGACAAACAATCAAATACTGCCCTAAACTCAATAGCGGAAAGGCAGCGCTATCCTGCAAATATGGCGGATAAACAAAGCAGTTTCCCAGAACTCAACGCGGCGTTACGTCACATTCTCATTCTTTATAGCTCGTAGTGTGGGTAACATGCTGTTTGTTTATTTCTTTCTTATTAAACGTTAAGAATGGTCTAATATTGGCATGTATTTTGCGCTGTAAATGATGTATGTGATGTACATTTAAGTTGTTTGACTCAAGCATGAATTAAAACGAGCAGTGTGGTGATCGCGAGCTCTTGTATTGTCATTAAAACACAAGATATGACCAATCATTCTTTAATACATGTAGCTAAGATTATTTAAGGCATCATTTTAATGATTATTTATATAAAAATAGCTACATGATGTTAAAAATCGTAAACAACATTATGCAACACGGTGTTTACGTTCAGATCAAAGCATAAACAACGTATCTGTGTACAGTGCTGCTGACAGCATATGTTCCAGTGTTGCCAGTTTAGCAATTTTGTTGCTAAATTTAGCAACTTTTCAGACTACCCTAGCGATTTTTTCTTCCAAAAGCACCTAGTAACAAATTTAGCTATTTTTAAATGTTATTTGGCTACTTTTAGCAACTTTTGATAAGTGACTCGAACAATAAAAGGCACACATTTTCCATCTAAATTTCACAAAAAGAGGAAACCAAAGATGCAGTACACACATCACGTGAATTAAATTATTGCTATTTGCAATTGTTCAATTTGATAATAATAATAATTTAATAATTGTTCATTTATGATACACCTTGTTGTACCTGTGATTGTTGATCAGTTAGTACACTGTAAGAAAAATATCTAGAAAAATGGAAAAGGTAGGCTTCTAGTAATTTTCCAGGACATTATCCGTTATCCATTATCCATTGTAAACCCTTTAACCCGAAACACAAAATACAATGCGTAATTTAAAATGCCGGTAAAAACCTGTGAATTCTTTTCTTAGAGTGTAGCATACTGACTACTAATACACTGCTTAAAACTAATTGGTCAGAATGTGTAGTTTTACTAGTTCACTAGCTAATAAAAAAACTTGTAATCCTTCAAAAATGTGTAAGTGTTCGTTCAATAATTCAATGTTGTATATAAAAAGTTATTTATATTTTAACATTATATTATGCATTTATATTATTTTACGAACAAATCTAAATTAACATATAAAAATATATTTTTTACTGAGATTTGATGTAGTGACACAATTTTTGCATCGTGATTACGTAATGACGTCATCACGCAATGACATCACAATATCATTTAGCAACTTTTAGCAACAAATCGACCTTCCTTTAGCAACTTCCCCTGAAAATTAGTTGGCAACAGTGATACGTTCATTACGTTGTTTACGTATGTGATACTCTCCAAAATGGCGCTATAGGGTGACGCGGAGGAGACGAATTGTTGAATAAAGTCTAAAGTATTTTTGTTTTCTTTGCGCACAAAAAGTATTCTCATAGCTTCGTAAAATTACGGTTGAACCACTGATGTCATGTGGATTATTTTAATATGTTTCTGAGCCTTAATCGTGATAGGACCCTTGCTGTCTATGGAGTGTCAGAGAGCTCTCAGAATGCATCAAAAAAATCTTAATTTGTGTTCTGAAGATGAACAAAGGTGTTACAGGTTTGGAACGATGTAATAAATGACAGAATTTTCATTTTTGGGTGAACTATCTCTTTAAGTGGAATAGAAACTTTCATTCATTCGATTCATTCAAACTGACTGATTCATTCATGAACGAAGCAAAGTTCACTTTATGAATGAATCACTGACTCACACGATTCATCAGCAAAATAGAGCAAAAACAGTCAAGATGTACAATGTTGCCTAAATAACTGACAATCAAATTATTGTTTATTGAGCTGTTGTATAAAATGAATGTCACATGCAATTGTGCTGATATTCCGGAAAATAGCACTATACTGGTGTGATGTTTAGCTATATCAAGTTATAAACAAACAAATAAATAAAAACTTCTTATCTGGAATTCTGGGGGCATTTCAGACCTTGCATGACGCTTAAGTTATGCCAACGCCAGACTAGCTTGCTTGTTAAGCATTATGAAGGGTTAAGTTAGGCTGTATTGAGATGTTTTAATAGTATTTTAATTTCACAGCAGTGACAAACAGTGCCAAACTTCAGGGCAAATATGATTGTTACCTGGCTGTCACCAATGAGGAAGGTCAGGGAGCCGTCGATGGCGAGATCGGGAGGGGTTTGCGAACACTGGCAGAACAGACCAAAAACTAGGCTGAGAGGGATAAACTTACGATGTTTGATCAGTTTGCTGCCCCCAAAAAAGAGTGTTAAATTCACGAATATTAGGATATTTTTGATTTCTATTTTGGTCAGGTTGTTAAAATTACACCACAAGCAAGACATCATTTTGGTTGTATAATTTATTAAATTTCAGTGTTCTTCTTTAAAATAAATATATGGTAAATAATAATAATAATAGGCTAATAAAGAAAAGTTAAAGCAAAGTTATGTACAATCCAAACATATACAACAGAAAGCCCTGCTCACAGGAGTCCCTGGAGTGCATACATTCTTTACTGAACACACACACACACACACAATCAGTGGCAATGCGTTTCTATGATTCTTTAGTGAAGAATTAGGAAAGTACATTAATACTGTCAGCAGCCAGCGTGAATACATGAAGAAAAGGAAAGATGGATAATACAGAAGCATTTCATGATAAAATATTTTAAAACCATGAAGAGGTCAACATC